ATGGAAATATCGCACACAAACAAAAAGAGATAGAGAGGGACAGTACCATCATAATCATGCTGATGCACTGGCAGTAATAATAATTTTTCGATCTCTTTCCGACCGTCTCTTGTTTATCTTTTTTAACATTTTGCATTTGGACTCGAGGTGGGGAAACCACACAAAAAACGCCAAGGAAAAAGGCGAAAAAACAAATCAGAACTAAAGAAATAGTCTAGGGAGTCGACTGTTGAATACCTTATTCTAAGTGGGTAAGAAATGTTGCATACTTTTGAGGTAATTGAATTATTAGAGCCTCCTTCTAAGCTTTGAGATACATTCATATTCAAAGACTACAAGTCACAAATATATTTATTTTAATCTTTGTATACCTTATTTTACATATCCCAATAAATTTCAAGACAATACTCCCCTCAAAATCCACAAGTACCTACCATAAATAAAAGGAAAACTCCAACAACAAACGAAGCAGAAATTATGGAAAATTCCCTGAATATAGCAAATAAGTTTTCTCACTTCCAGTCCAACTCCTCTTGACTGCTGCTATATTTTCTGTGTGTTATGTTTACTTTTTATGGCTTCAGGCCACAGTGCGTTCTTCTGGCTGCAACAATTATACGACTCAGAGCACACAGAAGGAACCGAACGATACTGAGAGATAAAAAAAGGGGGGAAAATAACAAAAACACCAGAGGAATTCACTCATTTCCGCTTACAGCTTGAATATCTCCCAGCAGATGCCGAAAAAAAGAACAGAAAATAATATAGGAATCACGTCTCTTGCGGTTTTTGCATAAATTTCATAATCTTTAGATTAGTCATGTATTTGGCCCAAAAGCTTGGCGTTAACGAGCTATGGCCAATGGCCAGTGAACACAGGCGAAGCGGAAAATTTTGTAGAGTCGTTTTTTTCGGGAGGAGAGTATAGTGAGTTTCCGCCACTTAAAAGATAATCCATCACCATTATTCTACTTCAGAAGTGGCATATTATTAGGAAACTATGAAGAAGTGTTTGGATTTTAGTCTTAAAAAGCTTTTTAAGTATTTGTTAGCAATTTTGTAAAGAAAGTTCCTATGATATATGAAGAAAATATTTATTTAAATCTATCTATCTATCTAAATATGAAATTTTATTTGGTTTTCATCCTAGAATTTATTTACCTACAATTTAATATCGGAATATTATTAAAGTTCGAAGCAGCTTACTCCATCCTCTTGTTTTCCCCTCAAAAAAATCACATGTTTCTCCTAATCCTGTTATTGTAGGGAAATAAGTTTGCCGAATTGCTTTGAGCATGGCATAAATCCTGTCAATAAATGCTCTCGTCTATGGGTCCTTCAATATTTATGGCGTAGCCAGGACAATGGTTCTAATAGACCAGAAGGGGAAGGCGGTGAACACTTGAGGCCAAAGTCAGCAACTTAAATATATTTATTTGAATTTATTTCCACCACCAGCACAATAATAATAAAAGTATCAAAATACAACAGCTGCTGTATTTGTTGTTTATGTTATGTTTTTTTTTCTCTCTTTTTCTGGGCTGCCTTTTCTCATTGTTCCCCTGATGTTGTTGATGTTGTTGATATCGTTGTTATTGCAATAAAACATTTATTCAACAGCCGCACAAAGTCAAACACGAGTCCTTTTTTGGGGTCTTTTGGTTTGGCTTCAGTCCGCCGTCCGAGAGACCTTTCATTTTTATTATTGTGCCACAAATTGTTGTAAATATTTGCAGAATATAGAATTGTTACCCTTTATTCTTTTATTACCTTTTTTTGGTCAATGGGTGCGACGAGGGGCATAAATTATACACAAAATATGCTGTTGAAATAATCAAGCGGTTAACTAAATCTCCCATAAAGCATAAAATTGTGAGAAACGACTGGCTTAAGTTGGCAGGAAGTGGCAGGAAAATGGGGATATCCTATTATTGAAATGGTTTTTCGATGAGGGAAGAGAGTTTAGCACCAACTGGTTTTGGCATCCAACTAAACTGTTTTCCTTTGCATTTATCGCTTCCGCTGGTAATTCTTATTTATGATTATAATTAAGGCTTGCTACGACTATAATTTGCACAGTTTAGTTTAGAAAGTAAACTATAAATATGTAAGAACAAACGGAAGTTTACTTTTTAAATAAATATAGAAATCAAGTATTTATATATTTACTTTTCCAAATGTGAAATACTACCCATTAAAGCTTGTTTTTAGCCAAAGAATTTGCTGATTTCTATCACAATGAAATAAATTCCTCTTGTTTTCATACAAATCTCATACCATCTTTATTTCGAGGCAACCTTAACGAGCTCCATTTTCAGCCAGCTGGAATCCTAATAAAGACATTTAGGCGGGTCGAAACTTTTTCGTTTTTATTTGTGCTTTGTTTTTGTTTTAGGCTGTTTTTGCTTTTCGCTTCGCTTTGAAACTTTTGTTAGAACAATTCCCAGAAATACTTTGGCCTGGCACCCACCAACACCAGGCAAATGTGTCGCCTGGGATTGCCTTTACCTTTCCGTGGCCGATGTCGAATTTTGCATGCCATTTGATTAATTGCCATGCAAATTATGGTGTAAATATAATAACATTTTATTCAGCTGTCAATTCGGCCGGCAGAGAACCGAGAAACAACAGCACAGCAGTCCAGAGGAAACAACATAGTCAGAAACAAAGTAAAGTCCCGGAGACTTTGGGCACGACATGCAAAAGCTCAATTTGGAGGACCGACGAGATGAAGCGAAGTGAATGGCATTCGCTGCAATCCAGGCACGACTTTTCCGCCTATTCAGGCATTATAGGGATGTATATCGGATAGGAAAATGTTATGTAATATATCGATAAGGTAAAATATTCGATGTAAAATAGAAGTGAATGAAAATTGTGTTGAATATTGGGTAGAAAACTGAGATATAATATCGATAAAATATGTTTTTTTACTTGTATATCGATCAAATATGTTTTTTACTTTAATATCAAATATATCATTAAAAAAATCGATATACTATCTATCTTCTGATATGAAAAATGTTGATTTTGTCGACAAGGTATCCCCAAAGAAATATGCTGTCGCAGTTTAAAGTTAAAACATAGACAAGCTCCTTTTACGAAAATTTCAAATAGAAAATCTTTAAATATTTCCACTTAAAGTAAAATATCGATCTCTTAACTTTTTATCGCCCTCATACCGATATCTCTAACTGTTTAGTCCATCTCTAGTGTAGCGCATTGCAAAAGCCATAATGGCTGGACTCCCAAACCGCAGCGAACCGCCACAAACACCTAAGCACAAAATTAAGACATTAGTCAAATTTTTTTTCTCTCTCTCAACTCTCGGCCTAATCCCTTCGCCAAAAAATGTTAAAAAAAATATATAATATTTTTGCCAAAGGCTGCCGCAGGTACTTCCATGGAAGTGGTGCTGCCGCCCCACGTCCAGGTGAGTGTTGCAAATTAGTTGACACGTCGTTTGGGCCACAGGAAATCCCAGACATTCGGCGCGACAAACAGTCGCCCAGTCGTCGTCGTCGGCATGAATAAAGTCATTTATATATATATATATATTGGATATATGTATATATATATGTACATATGGTGAAAGAGTCCGAGCTCGAGTCCGGCTCTATAATTAGCCTAATAACGCCAGGCACCCATCGCAGGCTGCGTTTTGAACCTCGGCTCAACTCTGCGAACGTTTTTACTATGTATAATGACTTCAATTTGCCCTGAAAGCGATTCCTGGAAATCAAATACGGCAAACGGCTAAATGCCATGCCATATACCACAGTCCACAGACCTGGCCATATGGGAACACGGAGAAAAATGAGCTAACAAGAGATTCATTTAAGTTGGGTAAGGTGTTCTAATAAATATTTTAAAATATAAAAAGGGGAAGTATGCATTAATGCATTTTAGATGAAAATTGTATTCATAAATATTGCTAAATATATTATAATAATATAACACATAAATTTAATCTATACTCTACTTGCAGTGTAAAAACAACGGTCATTTGGCATTCGCTTTGTGCTATTACGAGTATTATTTGGGTTATGGGGTGAGTGCCAACAGGTTCTCCCTCGGGGAGGGCACCAACGATTTGCATTTAGTCGCAAATGAAAGCTTGATTTTAATGAGAGCTGGCTGAGTTTTAATTCGGGACTCCATTTCCCGAATTTCCATTGCCCCAATCGGGCTCGGGCTTCATTTATTCTCTCTCTCTCTTCGATAAATTAAAGAGCTTAGTCTTGGGCTCCGCCAGCCTATCTATCCCATCTTCGGATACCATGCTCACCACGCCCACTGCTTCATATTTTCATAAACTTTTCCGCATCTAAGTCGGGAGGGTCGGGACGCCTTGGCCTCCTTGTTTCCCTCAACTGTTTCGGCTTTTACAAGCGCAGAGACAAATGACTGGCGATGTGCCGGGGCGATAGTGCTCGTGCCTGGTGGATCCCTGGATCTTGGGCTTGGATTCGGGTTTGGGTTTGGGTTTTCTGTTTGGGGTTTGGAACTTTGGCGAAACAACGCCTAAACCCAAAGCTGCCACAAAGAGTTATGTGCACAAATTAAATTTGCAAACACAAGGGGCACTGGGAGAAAATTTCAAAAGGTCTTTGAAAAATTATAACAATATTTGAGGGTTTAAAAAAAATGTAATACATTAAAGTTCTGGAGATACTGAGTGTCAGGGGGCTTGTAGATAAACTCTCGCTATTCTTCTTCAGTTTAAACTTTAGCGATTTTTCTTAATATATTTTTAATGCCTCCCATTAGATAAAATAATTATTTTTAACCGTGTATAACTTAGTGAAGGAGGAGTCGCTCTTTCTCTCGCTTGCCGAAAAGCAATCGAGCCACGCACGCCCAACATCAGTTTGATAAATTGATATCAGCGATCGATGCACGGCCGCCAGATTATTGTCTTGCCAGAGACTTTTAATTGAAAAAGCCAAGGAGCGCAGGGTGCAAGGGATAGAAAGGGCTTATATCCTATAGGGACTTACCAATGGATCCATCCAGGGAGTAGGCATTCCGCTGCCAGGCCCACGTGCACAGATCACAGGTGGTCAGGCCGTCGGCGGCGACGCTTTCATCCAGGAACGGTGGCCGGGGTGGCGGTGGCACAAAATGCCCGTTCCACAGTCCATTCTCGCTGGCGTCGAAGGCCAGCGGTGAGTCGAAGGTGTCCACCTCGATGGCATTGGCCCACCACTGGTCATCGTCCAGCGGATTGTAGCCCTCGGCGGCGGCAGAGGCAGCCGAGGAAGCAGCGGTGGTGCTTAGGGGATCCGCATCCGGCAGCGGTCCCGGCAGCTGACTCTCCAGGCCGCCCAAGGATGCGCCGGCCAAGGAGCCAAGTCGCGAGTTGGGAAACACGGGGCGCATTGTGCTGCTCGCATCCTGGTAAGTGTCCGCCATTTTCTACCTACTCGGGCGAACCTCAGACGGTCGTCTCCGGCCACATCGATCTGGTTTGGGGGATCGCAATTGGGATCTGGAGCAGTGTCACTCGTCTTGGGAGGGGGCGACTCTGCAATGGGAGTGGACAAACTTGTTAGCTCACAGTTACCCAATAGATTCATAATTCATAACAGAAATTCAAATAATTTACAAATATTGGCAAATCTTGTCAAATTTGGTGACCAGAAAACTGGTCGGTTAAGAGAGCTTGTTAAGCGGGTACTGTAACAAATTTATTACGATTCAGTAAAAATATAAACTATATTTAAGCAATCTGGAAAATTTGGCTCCTCAGCTAGCTCACAAATATTTATCTTTCGAATACACATGTTTATAAAATCTTTACTTTTATTACTTTTATTGATCATGTTTCTTTTTTTCAATATCCACTGTGTTTTGAAAGTTGTTTTTTTCTTGTAAAAAACCAGAGAATAAACACCTTATGGCTATCCTTATGATTATATTTATTCAAACCCACCTTATTAGTATGCACACCCCCGAATGTCCACCCCAATTAATAATTCCACCGTAAAAGACTTAATACCGTTTGACCAACAAAAAAGGGGCGTGCCGCCAGAGTTTTCCTCCCCACCAAGGTCCAGGTTAGGAGACAGGTTTTTCCTCATTGCCCATAAGCTACCGAAAAGTTTTTCCTCTACCTCCGTTGGACACACATTAATCAGCCCAAGAAAACTGCCAAGTTGACACTAATGAAGTTTTCTAACAAGATTAAAAAATACTGATAAAATACAGATGAAAAAAAAAAAAAACTGCCAGAAATAAATCAGCATTAAAACGTAAGAGATATCCGCCAGAATTTTGTAGTTCAATGGGTCAGAGCGCTGAAAAGTGAAACTCCCAGACAAATGTGCTAATCAAAGAGTGGGCCAAAGAGATCATCGGTAACGAAATTATATCTTTTCACCGTGATTTATAAGCCCGGCAATTACAAGCTCTCAGCTCACTGAACGCCCATTATTCGGCTTAATAATGCAAAAAGTCCGAGGTATATAAATACCATTCCAGCACAACAATGCGGCTTTGAACGAAAATAGTGAATATAAATACGAAAAATACCGAAATCATTTATCATAATCATTGTGATTGATTCGTTGGGAAAAAATAAAATATCACAAGTGAATAACACAAAATTTTTATAACGTTTCAAAAGGCCGACCGACCGATCGGCGACCGCCCCGTAGCTGCGCTCATCAGGCGTATAAATGCCGCTTTTTGTTGTTATTCCCCAATTGTTGCTGCTGGATCACGTCTTTAGCTCACGTTTTGCTCCATTGAATCACTCACTCAGGTTGCGATACCTTTTGGTTAGTGCACTGGGAGAAAATTATGTCTCATTGTAGTTTTAAAACTGCTCAAAAATCATTGTTGTATGATACCCTTGCCTGGGATTGTTATTTTACTCAAAAGCTTGTAAGGCAGTGAAGGAGTCATTTCCGACCCCATAATACATATATATTCTTGATCAGGATCAACAGGCGAAACTTTCTAGGCATAAAGGAAAGAAAATAAAATTTTGGAAATTTTTTCAAAGTTTTTAAGTGACTTTTTGACCTTGTTGACATGTTGAAAAATTGACAAAATTTTATATATCTTAATAATGTATTTTATGTATGCAGATTTATTAACCTATTGAAAGCTAGCACAGAACAGCTTTTTGAATTGAAATTAATGCTTTTTTGGCTTAGTTATGACTTTTCTAAACTATGGACTATGGAAAAATCGTACTTTAAATAGAATGCAAATATTTATACCCTTTTAGGGTATAATACTTTCAGTCAAAAGCTTGAAACGCAGTGAAGGACTCATTTTCGACCCTATAAACTATATATATTCTTGATCAGCATCAACAGGCGGATCTTTCTAGGCATAAAGGAAAGAAAATCAAATTTTTGAAATGTTTTCAATATTTTATGACACGTTTTTACATTGTTGACATTTTAAAAAATTGACAAAAATTAGAACATCTTAAAAATGTAATTTTGGTATGCAGATTTATTAAACTATTGAAAATTAGCACAGAACAGCTTTCCGAATCGGAATTAATGCTTTTTTAGCTTAGTTATGAGATTTTAAATTTTTGATTTATATAATATATTCCTCTCAGTGCATCTATAACCGAATAAATTGTTTTCAATTGGTGAGTGACCAACCGAGTAGCAATTGAACTGCCCCTGCTGCTTTTAGGACCGCATCGAATCGGCGGGGGGATCGTTGGGGGATATATCGCGAATATTTGGATATATCAAAGCTATTTTCCTGGTTCCCGTTGCGGTCGTGGGGTTAGCTTGTTTTCAACTTTCGAATATTATCAATCATGCAGACATTTTTACCGCCCGTCAAACAATTTTATTGTTTTTTACTTAATGGAGGAATTGTGTTCCAGAAAGTTGTCCAACTCTAAATTTAGAAACATCAAAGCAGACTGTTTTCAAGAACTTCAGGAACCGAAATATGAAGAGGTGAATGGGAAAGCACTTTGAGGTAAACCAAATGTTTACATTTATTTCTTTAGAAGGAAGGAGGCCTAGGGGGGAGTCTGTTTATTGAAATATTTTACTAATATATATTTTCTGTTTCTTAATAAATAAATTCAACACAGCATTATTTCTATTTCCCATGATCTCTTGATTACTTCTCCGAAACATTTTTATTTATTTGTAGAAATTTCTTAGCAACTTTGTTAGCCATTCTCTTGATTGAGTTGTCTCTCCATTTATAAATAGCCATTTCTAAAATGTATTTTTATACAGAATGGCCTGGCTTGGCTGTCTTGGCCTGGCTTCTACAGTATTTTGGCCACCTTCCATATTAATCACACCGCATGAGTGGCTTTCAGCAGACAATGGAGCCATGTGGCATCATCTCGGGGGCCATCATCTAAGCGACCTGCGACGTTAAGTGCAATAAAGAGACTTTATTCTGGTTTTCATGCTCTCATTTTTTGTATTTTTATTTTTTGGCAAAGTAAGGTAAATCCTCAAGTTGACCAAGTTTTCACTTTTTCTGTGCGTTAGCCAAGTGGCTTAATTTATATTTATGAAACGCTAACACACACACACACTCAGACGAGTTGGCGAACTTGTGGAAGAGTTATGAGTCTGACCCACACTCGGACCCAGACTGGGACTGGAACTTGGACCCTGGCCATATAATAACAATTTAGGCTTGTTCCCCGTCTCGGGCGGCAATTTTTCACATTAATTACAAATTACAGATTTATTAGGTATGAGAGACTTGCAGCCAGACGCCACGCCCTTGTCCCCTCCGAGCTCCTTAACCGGCCTTAGCCAAGTTTTTATACCCTTGCAGGGTATTATAATTTCAGTCAGAAGTTTGCAACGCAGTGAAGGAGGCACCTCCGACTATATAAAGTATATATATTCTTGATCAGGATCAACAGCCGAGTCGATCTAACCATGTCCGTCTGTCCGTCTGTCCGTCTGTCCGTCTGTCCGTTTCTACGCAAACTAGTCTCTCAGTTTTGGAGCTATCTGAATGAAACTTTGCAGTTAGTCTTCTATATACTCTCACTCGTATATATGTCGGAACGGGCCGGATCGGACGACTATATCATATAGCTGTCATAAGAATGATCGGAAAAGTTTTACAAAAAAAATTATAAAATTTTTAGTTTTCAACAGAATTTGATCAAATTTGAGATATAGCCATTTCATATTATTCTACAATTTTGTGTAAAATTTTATGAAAATCGGACGACTATATCATATAGCTCCCATAGGAACGATCGAGAAATTAATTCAATTAAAAAGTATAACATTTTCAGTTTTCAACAGATTTTCATCAAATTTGAGATATAGCCGTTTCATATTATTCTACAATTTTGTGTAAAATTTTATGAAAATCGGACTAATATATCATATAGCTCCCATAGGAACGATCGAGAAATTTGAGAGGAATGAGAATGGCGGTGGCTGTTGTCGGAAGACTGACAATCGCGGTGGCGATAACATTTTTAGTTTTCAACAGAATTTAATCAAATTTGAAATATAGCCATTTCATATTATTCTAAAATTTTGTGTAAAATTTTATAAAAATCGGATTACTATATCATATAGCTCCCATAGGAATGATCGAGAAATTAATACAATTAAATTTATAACTTTTTTAGTTTTCAGCTGATTTTCATCAAATTTGAGGTATAGCCATTTTATATAAGTCTAAAATTTTGTGGCAAATTTCATAAAAATCGGACGACTATATCATATAGGTGCCATACAAACGATCGTTTGATGTAGAGGAAAAATGCAAATCTGTGAATGTAAAACTGCAAATATAATATGTATAGGTGAATGAAATGAAAGCAGGTATTACTTCATTGTTTTTTAACACAAATATATATAATTTATATTGTATGGATTCCTATTCATAGAAGTTCTATCTGCAAGGGTATATAAACTTCGGCGTGCCGAAGTTAGCTTCCTTTCTTGTTTTTTATAGTTTTACTCGGCCCAGTCAACATGCAGGTTACAAGCTTCCTTGGACCTGTCGGCGAATTAAATTCCAGGCCAGTCACATGTTACAACTCTTGCAGCAAGTACGCAATGTGCACTGGGAGGAAATTCTTTGGGTTATAATTAAGAGGAAAATTTGTCTAGAGGTTGTATTTCGACAGGGAAATATGATATACAATATTATAATAGTTAAGAGGAGAAAGGAGTATTAATAGACTACCTTTTCCCTTTGACAACTAGCACTATATATCCTATTACTTTATATTTGTTCAAGTACTAAATTTCTCCCTGTGCACCTTACAGAACTTGGCTAAAATATTAATGAGTGTTGTAATTTGTTGCATTGTAATAAATTAATTTTGTGCGCCGCGGCACTCGTGAGAGCGTCCTCGAGTGGGAATGGGACCGGGGACCGGGGTTTGTATGTAAAGGGAGATCGGGATTGGGATAGGGATCGGGAGCGGGAGCAACCATTTGCATACGAGAGCAAACCACTTGGAACTCGCCGACCAAGAGCCATAAGCCAGCATTTGCCGGCCGGCCGGCTCTGGATGGTGGCTCTTGGTTGTTGGCCCTC